AGTTTGAGCTAAGGGTTATTATATTTGTCCTTGTTATTCTTACTAGTGTGTGTTTTTTGTGGATAACATTTCTTTTAAATTCAACTCGATGCCATCAAATCTCTTCTGACCTATGGTGATGCCCTGTCTAGTTTATGAGGTGGTGAATCTGTAAAGTAGGAGACTGCCCATCTTTCTCCCAAAGAGCAGCTTATGGATTCAAACTGTTAACCTTTTGATTAGCAGTCTGATAGATTACTCATTATGGCACTAGAGGAGAAGATATATATAGGTGTTCAGTCCTTAAAGAGAGACATTATGCTGAGGAGGGTGGAGGGGCAGTGCAGGGGGTGGAGGGGCAGTTCAGGAGGTGAAGGCCCTCAATGAGATGGATTAACTCAGTGACTGGAGTAACGGTGGTAGGTGTGTTGGAGATAGTAAGATTGGCTTAGGATAGAGCAGGCTTCAGAGTTGTTGTACGTAATGTCACTGTGAGTTGCAAGAGACTTGGTGGCACATAACAACAACAATAGCAAACCATGACTATAACCTTGAGAAGAATGGGAATTCCAGAACACTTAATTATGTGTATACAAAACCTATACCTAGACCAAGAAGCTGGTGTCTGAACAGAGCAAGGGAGCACTGCATGGTTTAAAATAAAAAAATATGTTCATCAGGGCTATATCCTCTCTTCATACATATTCAGTCACAGTGACTGGAACTGAGCAAATCATTTGAGAAGCTGGACTTTATGAAGGAAAGTGTGGCATTAATACTGAAGAAAGATTCATCAACAACTTGAATTACGCAGATGAGACAACCTTGCTTCCTGAAAGTGAAGAGGACCTGAAGCACTTACTGCAGAAGATCAAGCACTGGAGCCTTTGGTATGGATTACATCTCAGCATCAAGAAAACAAAAATCCACACCAGTGGACCAGTAAGCAACATTATTTATCATAGATGGAGGGGGGGAAGAAAAGAAATTGTCAACAATTTAATCTTGCTTAGATTCACAGTCAGAACTCTTGGTACCAGTAGTCAGGAGATCGGGAGATGTATAGCATTTCAAAAGTCTGCTGTCACAAAGGATCTATTCAAAGAAAATTACAAAACATTACTACAAGAAACAAAAAGAGACCTGGAGAAGTGGAAGAATATCCCTTGCTCATGGATAGGAAGACTCATTATTGTGGTAATGGAAGTACTACCAAAGACAATTTAAACATTTAATGCAATCCCAATACAAATACCAATCCCATTCTTCAAGGAGATGGAAAAGGCAATCTCCAGTTTCATTTGGAATGGAAAAAAAAAGCCACGAATAAGCAGAGCACTTCTTAAAAATAGAAGAAAGGTAGGAGGTATCTCACTCCCTGATTTCAAATCCTACTACACTGCTATGATGGTTAAGACAGCATGGTACTGGTACAATGAGAGACATATAGATCAATGGAATAGAATTGAGAAACTGGAGATCAGTCCATCTATCTATAGTCAATTGATTTTTGACAAGGAGATGAAATCAGGTTAGTGGGGAAATGACAGCCTTTTTAACAAATGGTGTTGGCGAAATTGGAAAAGAGAGGAATTGCATTGGGAAAGTTGGCTGTGAGGGACCTCTCAAGAGTACTGAAGAGCAACAACGTCAAGCTGGAGACTCAAGTGCGCCTGATCCGGGCTATAGTCTTCTCAATTATGTGCTATTCATCAGAGAGTTGGACAATGAATAGGGTTGATAAAAAAAGAATTGATGCCTTTGAGCTGTGGTGCTGGAGAAGAGTGTTGAATATACTGCTAGGAGAACAAACAGGTTTGTCCTGGAGAAGGTGAAGCCGGAATGCTCTTTGGAGTCAAGGATTCTGAAGCTTCGTCTGACATAATTTGGGCATGTTGCAAGGAGGGACTGGTCCTTAGAGAGGGACATCATGTTTGGCAGAGTGGAGGGGCAGCGAAGGAGAGGAAGACCTTCAATGAGATGGATCAATTCTATGACTGGAGTGGTGGAAATGATTGCGTTTGAGATGGCTAGGTTGGCACAGGATAGAACAGCGCTTAGAGCTCTTGTACATAGGGTAGCTATGAGTCGCAAACGACTCAATGGCACATAACAACAACAACAACATCTGCAAAAGACTCAAGCAAGATCCACACCTCACTCCATATACAAAAACCAACTCCAGGTGGATCATGGACCTAGGACTAAAACCAAGGACTATAATCTTCATTAAAGAAAAGCTTGGAAGAACACTAGAAGTCCTAATTCACAACATAAACAGTCTTCCAGGTATCCTGAAAAACCTACAACCAGGAGAAGATAAAATAGATGAATGGGACCTTCTAAGAATCAAATCCCTATGCACATCCAAAATCTTCTCCAGCAGGGTAAAAAGGGAAGCCACAGACTGGGAAAAAGTATTTGGTAATGACATATCAGATAAGGGACTTATATCCAGAATTTATGAAATACTTGAGCACCACAACAAGATATAGGTAAAGAATCCAATAGAAAAATAGACACAGGATATGAACAGACACTTCACCAAAGAAGACGTTCAGATGGCTAACAAGCACATGAAGAAATGCTCAAAATCCCTAGCCCTAAGAGAGATGCAAATTAAAACAACTATGAGATATCATCTCACCCCAGTCAGAATAACAAAATTTAACACAACAGCAAGCAACAAATGCTGGCGAGGTTGTGGAGAAACAGGAACCCTTATTCACTGTTGGTGGGAGTGTAAAATGGTGCAGCCATTGTGGAAGGTGGTATGGCACTTTATCAAAAAGTTGCTTTAAAAAAAAGTTGCAAATAGAATGTATGATAATTTATTATAGTTACCATTTCTTACTTAAAATAGAACTCAATAACTCATTTTTTTTACTTTTAAATTCTCTTCAGAACAGTAACATTTACATAAAAATAAGCAGTAAAAATATAGAAGCGTATGAGTTATCTAGGAAGAAAAATACCAAATTGTTGATTATAATTACCATGTAAGGGTATTTTTGGGGATATTGCCTGGTTAATGTTATATTTTTAGATCATGATTCTGTTTTTATGAGTTACATTGTTAATGATACAGTTCATTTTACATTGATCAGTGTGTTTGCTGCACTGTTGTTGGAATAAACCTAGCATTCTCATTTGGACCATAAAAAAAAGTTGCAAATAGAGATACAATTTGACCCAGCAGTTCCACTACTGGGAATATACCCCAAAGAGACCATAGCTGACATCCAAGCAGATATATGCACACCCATGTTTATCACAGCTTTGTTCACAATAGCAAGGAGTTGGAAACAACCCGAATGCCCATCAACAAACGAGTGGGTAGAGAAGCTGTGGTATATTTGCACAATGGAATACTATGCTGCATTGAAAAACAAGAAACTCATGCAATATTATTCAAAATGGGTGACCTTGGAGGACATTATGCTGAGTGAAGTATCTCAGTCACAAAAGGACAAATACTGCATGGTGCTACTGTTGTAAAACAGGACTGACATTGGGGTTCAGGGGAGACTGAGAAAGATAGGTTCAATAATGTATACTGCATTGAAACAGATGAGGGAGAAAATTCTTTAAAAGGGATACGTGATTAGGTATTTTTGTCATGACAAGAGTCCAGAGTGAAGGCTGCACAGTGGAGTGGACCTGGGGGGAGGGATCGTAAAACAATGAAAGAATTTTTATTTTACTTTTCCAAGAGGGTAGTGTACTAGGGGAGAGGGTAGGGAGAGGAGAAAAGTGCAACAATGAATGAATGAATGGAAATCCAAAGTCTCTGTAAATTTTCATTGAAATTAATAATTTTTTTAAAAGTCTGCTGTTAGGGACTCTCTCCAAAGTACCAAAGAGCAATGATGTCACTGTAGAGACTAAGGTACACTGGACTCAAGCTATGGTCTGTCTAATCACCTACTATACATCTGAGACAATGAATAAAGATGGCAGGAGAGAAACTGATGCATTTGAATTGTGGTATTGGAGAAGAGTGCTGAATATCTTAAGGACTGCCATAAAAACAGTAATGTCTTGGAAAAAGTTCAGTCAGAGTGTTTCTTAGGGGCAAAGGTGGTGAAACATTGTCTCACATATTTTGGATATGTTGTTAGGAGAGGCTACTCCTTGGAAAGGGACATCATGCCTGGAAAGGTAGAGGGTCAGTGAAGGAGAGAAAGACTCTCAATAGATGGATTGATAAGTATCTGTGGCGATGGGCTCAAATTGTAGAGTGATAAAGATGGTGCAGGACAGGACAGAGTTCAGGTCTGTTGTTCATAGGGTTGCTATGAGATGTACTCGACTGGACGGCACTTAACAACAACCTTCAGATATTATTCCCTTCCTCTGTTCAGACATCAGCTCTTGGTCTAGCTATAGGTTTTGTATGGACACAATTAATTCTCATTCTCTTCAATATTAGCCATAACTTGTTAGGATCCACACAGTCAAATACCTTTGCATCGTTAGAGCACAAATCGACATTCTCCATTTTTTGAGCTGATGTGTTTAGTCTCCATTTTTGCATAACACTGATTTTTTAAATAATGACCTGGTCTTAGGACCCTAACTAACTGTCTTGATAGGTGAGTGGAGATATCTATCTCTTTATCTCTCTATCTCTATCTATCTATCTATATCTCTATATAGCTCTATATATAAATATTATTACCATGAACATTACAACACTGCCATTTGGTCTAAGAAATGCAGCCTTATTTAGTTAAAGCCCCTGTAAACTCCTTGCTAGTTGTATCTCACCAGTTACTTATCAATTTAGTGGTATTAATCCTATTAATTTATTACCACATCTTTATTGGTAAACTATTCCTGCTCTTCGAGAAAACAGTCTGTGGAAAGGTGGGTGAATGGAGGAAAGGGTGAATGGGCCAGAGGTGGAGACAGAGATGAGTCAAAGGACAGATGGATGAGTGACTTGCTGGAAGGAGTGGGGTGGTCAGATAGATGGGCGGGCTTTTCTCTGTTCATTGATTGTCAAGCTTCTCTTTCAGCTTCGGGCAGCAGAGGTGGAGATCAAAGATCTGCAGTCAGAGTTTGAGCTGGAGAAGATTGATTACCTGGCCACCATCCGCAGACAGGAACGGGACTTCATGCTCTTCCAGCAGCTTTTGGAGCATGTGCAGCCCCTGATTCGCCGAGACTGCAATTACAGCAACCTGGACAAGATCAGGCGCGAGTCTTCCTGGGATGAGGAGAATGGCTTCTGGAAGATCCCTGAGCCCATCATCATGAAAACCAGCCTCCCAGTAGGTCAGGAGCCTGGCTGAACACGAAATTGTGAGGTCTTCCCCTCCCTCACCCCAGCCTGAGATCCTGCAGACTGACAGGGGGGCCTATCCCTGTGACCCTGGGGACTCAACATGGCTGGGACCTCAGGGAATGGGGTGTTCAGGAGTCAGATTCTGGCTCCACCACTCCAAGACTCTGACTTCTCTGGGACTCAGCGTCCTTACCTGGGAAATGAGGATTAATAATAGCACCTTAAAGATGGCTTTGAGTTTAAAATGTGCCATATAATGAAACCTGTTAAGAGCCAGAACTTAATGAGACTGCCCTGTTTTTTGAGTCTTCCATGTTTTCTGCCTGTGGCCAGATGCAGTTTTACCATTTGTTTAAGAGGAAAATATTTGCATTTTTCTTCTCTGGCAGGTTTCTGCCTTAGGTTATAGCTTTTGCAGGTTTGACTGTATATGTAAAATGCTTAGAGTAAAGCCTGGCTCTTAGCAAGTACTTAAAACTTTTTATCAATCAAGTTATCATTCTCATTATTTCACCCTAACGTCAGCCCTGCAAAGGTCATTACATCTGAGGAAATCAAACCTCGGAGAGTTTAAGTGACTTATCCAAAGTCAGTCATGACCCAGTATGAGAAACCAGCTCTTGAGCATCACCCAGGTCTGGCTCGACATCTGCTTTTGCCACTGGCTTCCTCTGTGACCATATAAGTCACTGCCCATCTCTGGGCTTCAGCCTCTGGTCTGTACAAAGGAGAGGTTGGAGAGGATGATCTTGAAGGTCCCTCCATTTCCAGTGAGTCTCAAACTCAAATCAGACCTGCCCAGGGGTCCTTCTCCAGCCACTCCCCAGTTCTTCCTGTATGGAGAGAGTTGGCTGGTACATCCCACCACACCCCCCCCCCAGTAGTCCTCCCTGCCAGGCAGTGCACACCCAGAGTTCCGTCTCTGATGCATGGATGTCATTTGACCTCCATTCCTGCTGAGACGTAAGCGGTTCCGTTTCCCATAACCTCTGGGGGGCAACAGCCCTCTGGTTATCTGTTTCTCAGTCATTCCTGGGCTTGGCTTGGGTAGTGCCCTCCTGGCAAAAGTAACTCAGCTTGTGCTTTCATAGCAGTTCCAACCGGGCCACCAAGCAAATCAGTCCGCAAAACCTCTGCAGCAGACAACGGAGAACCAGGCCTGGTAAGTGCCCAGGGAGAGCGTGTGAAATGTGGAGAGCTCGTGGGATTTGCCTGCCAAGGGCAGTGGGTCATTATTATGGGGACCTTGACTTAACTTTGATCTTACCTAATGACTGAAGCAGGGGTGGGTAATCTTGTTGACACCTAGGTGTCTGTCCCCAAAGGGAAAGCTGATGTTTGGAGGTGACCCATCCTACTGAGGAAGAGTGAAAACATCACCAAACCTGCAGACCAGGCAGCTCATTCTGGTTTTCTGGTGCTCTAGTGCTGTTATTCACTGTCCAGCTTTCCGATGCAAGCAGTTGGTTCATAAGACCATGGCCTGAATCAGGCTTACTCTAGTCTTCACACTGACATCATTGCTCTTCAGCACTCTGGAGAGGCCCCTGACAGTGGACCGGCCAGTGCAGTACATCTCCTGATTTCTTGACTGCTGGTATCAAGGGTGTTGATTGTTAGTCCAAGGAAGGTGTAATAGTTGACAGCGTCTGTCCTTTATCTCTCATAATGTTGGCTTTTGATCCTGTGGTGAGGTCCTTTGTTTTCTTAATGTTGAGATGTAATCCATACCCTAGGCTTGCAGTCCTTGATCTTCTGTGGCACGTGCCTCAAATCCTCATTTTCAGCAAGCAGCGTTTTGTCACTTGCATAACAGGTTGTTGATGAGTCTTCCTCCAATCCTGATGCCACATTCTTCCTCATAGAGTCCAGGTTCTTGAATTATTTCCTCCACATACAGTTTGACTAGATATGGAGAGGAAGACCGCAGTGAGATGGATTGGTCTGGTGACTTCAGCAGTGAGCTGAGTGTTTCAGAGATGGTGAGGATGGCACAGGATAGGGCACAGGTCATAGTCTTTTCAGTCACTTGCTATGCATCTGAGAACTGAGCAATGAATAAAGATGACAGAAGAAGAGTCTATGCCATTCAGTTGTGGTGTTGGAGAAGAGTCCTAATATCCCATTAAAAGAACAAAAAAAGTCTTAGAGAAAGTATAGCCAGAGGGCTCCTTGAAGGCAAGGATGGCAAAGCCTCATCTCACATACTTTCGGCATGTTGCTAGGAAAAACTGTTCTTTGAAAAGGGACATCATGCTTGGAAAGGTGGAGGGTTAACAGAAGAAAGACCCTTAACCAGGTGATTGTGACAAAGGGCTCAAGTGTATCAAAGATAAGGATGGCACAGGACCAATCAGGATTCAGATCTGTTGTTCGTAGGGTAGCTATGAGTCGTACTCAGCTCAGTGGCACCTAACAACAATATAGTTTAAGATTTTGCCTGTAGAATCCTTCCATTTTGCAACTCAGGGTTTGAATGTGTTCTGTTGTTTCAGCTTGAGAAAAGATGGCTCAGCATAAGCTTTGTTTTTGGTTTTCCAACCCCAGACCTTTGCAAATTTCATTTTAATATTTGTTTTCTCAAGATGCCTTTTGGAATCTTCTGTTCAGTTTTTTTCATTGTTTCTTTCCTTCTGTTTGGCTTCTGTGAGTTGAAGAGTAAGTTTCAGAGTCTCTTCTGATGTTCATTTTGGTCTTCTCTTTCCTGTTTTTTTTTTAAAATGACCTTTTGCTTTCTTCCTGGATAATGTCCTTGAAGTCATCCCAAAGCTTATATGATCTTTGGTTTCTAGTAGTGTATCGGATCTGTTTTTTTTTAGCTGTTTTTAATTCAGGTGGGATTAAATCAAAGTAAAAATAATGTATTTCAGATTTAATAGAGTTGTTTAGCTTGTCTTCCGCTTCAATTTCACTTTCATATGAGTAACTGATGACCTGTTCCATTATTGGCCCCTGGCCTTGTTTGGACTGATGATATTGAGCTTCTTCATCTCTTTTCACTGATGCAGTCAGTTTGTGTGTATTTCATCAGTAAGGTCCATGTGTATAATGGATCATAACAAACTGGGGCTGACTCTGAGAAGAATGGGAATCCCAGAACATTTAATCGTGCTAATGCGAAAGCTATACTTGGACCAAGAGGCAGTCATCAGAAGAGACCAGGGCAACACTGAATGGTTCAAAATTGGGAAGGGTGTGCGCCAGGGATGTGTCCTCTCTCCATACCTTTTCAACCTGTATGCAGAGCAGATTATCCAAGAGGCTGGGCTCTATGAGGAGATGCGTGGCATTAGGATTGGTGGAAGATCTATCAACAATCTGCGTTATGCAGATGACACAACCTTGCTTGCTGAAACTGAGGAGGACCTCATGCACT